TGAGATTGATATCAGTTCAGTTGATGTGTCAAAAAAATAGAGAATTACCATGTCAAGTGAGATTACTCAAATCTTTCTCTAGTACTTAGTGGATTGGATTAATATATAGGATATGAACTTTGAAATATCTAGTCTGTCCAGCATAATAGGTTTCACCCACTTATCTCTGGCTAAGTGAAGCATTAGGAAGTATAATTTGGACGAAATGCAAAGATCTATCTTTTCTCTTTATTCCATTACACTTTCACATCCACAATGCCTTGTCTTCAGACTTAGACTTATCCTAATAATGGCATTGGAAGGTTAGAAGATTTTTCTGATGCTATTGTATTGATAGTTTGATGCTGTTTTTCTAATCTATCTTTCGGTTTGTTCTCTTGTCTGCTTGAACTTGGCAGTGTCAATCCTTTTAGGCTTATTGGAGTTGGTTTGTCAGTCTGGACCTTTGCCACTGCTGGTTGTGGTTTTTCATTTGACTTTTGGTCGATCACAATTTTCCGCATGTAAGTAAAATTGTTTCATGCACTCAAAGGCTACTTAGTATACATTTTTTTGTTTACCTTTTCAGATTTCTTTCTGTTCTTGGGATGTTTTTTTATTTAGGCTAGTGGGTGTTGGTGAGGCTTCTTTCATAAGCCTTGCAGCTCCATTCATCGATGATAATGCCCCAGTTGCTCAGGTTTGTTGCCGGTTCAGACTTCTTCAGTTCATGATATTTTCTAACTATGTACATTATTTTTTCCCTGCTATACCCTCATTTAGTTAATCAACCTTTTCATCAATTTTATGACAAACCACGATTCTTTCAAGACACATGGGTTGGTGAAACTCACAAATTATGCACTAGCTCATGAGTTGATTCCTTTCATAATCATTGTTGTAACGACCCAAAATTTACCTTTTGGATGATTAAAACGTATCGTAAAATAAAGATTTAACTTTCATAGAAATATAACTTTTGTACCAATTACAATAATTGAAAAATAAGAATTAATAAGCTACAAAATTAAAATAATTAATTTCTCAATAATATCTTTATTAAACCACCAGAGAGCCATTCCAAACTCTAATTTGTTGAATCTCAATTATGATATTTATAAACTATGAGATAGAATCTTAATAAGTGAGCCATATAAATCGTAATTCATATTTAAAATTTAGGAATTCATAACGTACATAAGGAAACATGGGATTTTGAAATTGAACTTAGGTGGCTGTAATCCACGTACATAATCATGACATACATGAGAGACACGGGATTTAAGAATTGTACTTCGTTGCTATAATTCTCATGTGTAGCGCTACTAAACTTTGGTCTATTGAACAATAACATATAAGACCCATATCATACTCATAAATCGAATTCTGTATTTTAAAGTATGAAAAACGATTTAACATGCATCGTATGACTACACTTACATTAATTATTTGAAGAGTATCGCAGTAAATATGTGGAGGAGAAACTTCTTCAACAAAGTGATAATATGTATGTGGTTGTGGTTGTGATCGTGATTTAAGTGTGGTATTTATAAGTGCACTAAGGGATACCAAAAGGAAAATGTCTTAATGTGTCCCTA